TCTCCAGTGGAATCTGTCTTATTTTACGCAATTACAACTCTCCACAACCTACTGCTTCATCAGGAAGGTTCCAAGATGGCCGTCCGATTAGCAGGTGGTCTACAAAAAATGGTGGCATTACTGCAAAGGAACAATGTCAAGTTCTTGGCTATAACCACAGACTGTCTACAAATTCTGGCTTATGGGAATCAGGAAAGCAAGGTAGGGTTCTTTTCTGATTATGTTTTGAAATGTACATGTATCTCTAAACAGAAACCATCAGAAATGTTAACATTTATTCAACAATATGCTGATTTAGATGTAATCAAGTTACCGCAACTAGGAACTGCTACGAAAGGAATTCTAAATTTAATGACATTTTTCAGCTGATTGTGTTGGCCAGTGGTGGACCAGGTGAACTGGTGAGGATCATGAGATCTTACACATACGAGAAACTGCTGTGGACAACCTCGCGAGTCATCAAAGTTCTCTCTGTCTGCTCCAGCAACAAACCCGCCATTGTGGAAGCAGGTACCATCATTATTGACATCTGAATTTTAGTTCAGGAGGAGCAAATCTACCATTCCTGTCAAAGGTTTTGGTTCTTATGCGAATTTAGAAATGTCAGATGATGCTTCTAGGGTTAAAGAATTAAAGGGAGAATCATTGTTTTCTGTATTGCAGGAGGAATGCAGGCTTTGGCTATGCACTTAGGACACCAGAGCCAAAGACTGGTACAGAACTGTTTGTGGACAATAAGAAACTTGTCAGATGCTGCAACAAAATGTGTAAGTAATCTTAAAATAAATCAATCTTTGCTCCATGAATTAGTTAAATAAATTGCAATAACATGTCTAGGACAGATTAGGTGTGACTTCTTTTAAATTTCAATGTGTTATTCTCTTTCAGGAAAATATGGAAGGCATCTTACAAATGCTTGTCCAGCTTCTCTCGTCTAACGATCTCAATGTGGTGACATGTGCTGCTGGAATCCTGTCTAACTTGACCTGTAACAACCAGCGTAACAAGGTCATTGTATGCCAGGTTAATGGTATCGAGGCTTTGGTCAGAACCATCCTGCAGGCAGGAGACCGTGAGGACATCACAGAACCAGCAGTAAGTAGCTTCTGCTTAGAGCGGAGGAGAGTTGTCTAATGGAATTCTTAATATTTCAAACCTTGTGTTGTTGAATGAAAAGTTATTGTTCAGATATTGACAAAATTATTACGTGGTCAGTACTTACGTGTAATTGGTTTTATACTCAAAAAAAGAGTTCCCTTTATCAAATGTTTTATACTCTTCATCACAGGTGTGTGCATTGAGGCATTTGACCAGTCGCCACCCAGAATCTGAGATGGCCCAGAATGCCGTTCGTCTGCACTATGGACTTCCTGTTCTAGTCAAGTTACTTCACCCACCAAGCAGATGGCCCCTTATCAAGGCTGTGGTTGGTCTCATCAGGAATCTGGCCCTGTGCCCCGCCAACCATGCCCCACTGAGGGAACACGGAGCACTGCCCAGGATTGTCCATCTCCTCATCAGAGCCCATCAAGACACACAGAGGGTAAGAAATGCAAGTTTTTGTAGTAAATGTAAAAATGCACTGCAGGTTTATCTTTGAAAAAAAAATTCTATTTATTTTCAACACTAAGTATTATTGAAAGAGCTGATTGATAAGAAAAGTTAAGTAGATACGATATAAAAAATAAATAAGATTTAAAAAAGCTGAATAATACTTTTTTTGACCTTTTCTACAGAGAGCCTCCATTAGCTCCAATGGACAGGGATCAGGGTATGTGGATGGCGTCCGTATGGAGGAGATTGTGGAAGGAACAGTGGGAGCACTTCATATTCTGGCCAGAGAGGCTCACAACAGAGCTGTCATCCGCGGCTTGAATGGCATTCCTCTTTTCGTGCAGGTAATAAAAAAAACAAAGGAAAAAATAAAAATTTAAAAACATTAGATTTAACAAGAAGTTCCATTTCAATGCTGGATTATATTAAAAGAATTTTTGTCATTTGCAAAAAAGGAAAAAATTTTGAAAGGGAATATTATTCTGATCAATGATTGAAAAAGCACTTTTTAGTCAAAAACAAGATTACACAAATATTGTACAGAACTGTTTTTCTTACAGCTGCTGTACTCACCCATTGAGAACATTCAGCGTGTGGCTGCAGGAGTTCTGTGTGAACTAGCAGCTGATAAGGAGGGTGCTGAGCTTATTGAACAAGAGGGAGCTACTGCACCACTCACTGAATTATTACACTCCAGAAATGAAGGCGTCGGTAAGACAAAATTTCTCATCTTTATACCATATATGTAGGAAAAATGTGTTTTGAGAATTTTCACAAAGTCTACTGAGGCCTAAAAAATTATTCACAAAGTGATTAAGATTTATTGTATTTGTCACCTTAGCTACCTATGCAGCAGCTGTACTTTTCCGTATGTCTGAGGACAAGCCACAGGACTACAAGAAGAGACTCTCTGTAGAACTGACCAGCTCTCTGTTCCGGGACAACCAAAACATGCCCTGGTCCGACGTCCAGCCCCCAGGATTTGAGGATGTAGGACACATGATGCCCCCTGCTGATGATTCCTACAGGGATCAGATGTACCAGCCTCCACACCACGACAGCCAGGGAAGCATGCACAGCAATGATATGAACAGAGGTATGATCCACAACATATGTATTATATAAATAGGAAGCAGGAATAAGATTATACAAAGTATCCTGAATCTTGGAAGGTCAACTTGTGCATATTTTTCTCATGTGTTCCAAAGATTCTAGCATTGTAACATGTATATATGAATTTGATACAGGATAAATTACTCACTGTTGATTTATCTGTTTTAGGTTATGAACACCAAATCCCAATTGACTCCATGCAGGGTCTTGATATTGGCAGTCAGGGAGGAAGCCAGTATGGGGGAATGGAAAATCTGCCTGACCTGGGACCAAATGCACAGTCAGGGGACCTCAATTTCGAGAATCTCGAGTCCAGTCTGCCTCAACAGTCTGGCAACAACCAAGCCATGCCGTGGTTTGATACGGACTTGTAAATTCATGTGCCACAGACTTATACATATGCCATGACTTGACAACACAAGAGGCATAACTCCTCTGCTTGGTCAATACAAAGACTTCGCAAATGTATAAAAACAAAGTAGTCAGTTCTTTTCTGTACATTGGATCTGAGGATCTGTAGCTCGAAGTAATGTGTATTTGTTATTTGACAGAAAGAGGAGGGAAATTCCTGTTAAAAAGAATTAACATGTATGGTCTCTTTTGAAAAATTTTCAGTATATGTACATATTTCATATGAATAAAAAAAAATTTCAAAGATTATTTGGCATCATGGGGAAAACTTTTGTTCATTATCTTCAATTTTCCAATGTTAAGGTTGTAAACTGAGCAGCTGAACTTTAAAATGATTTGGTATATCGTAAATTATCATCATCTAAACCACTTGGACCAGAATTTTATTCTTGTTGTAAATAATTCATTCCAGTAGTTTATCTTCATCTTGTATATGCCTTAGAATAGAACACTTTGATAAAACACACAAAAAAAAAGTCTTATGTAAGCAGCAAACAAACCATGTGAACATAATATTTGTATTTCTGACAACTATTTACAATGCAAACATCTTCTTTGTGTCCAGAATTTCGGATTGTTAATATTGCAAAGGTCTGTCAGAAATATAAAGGATCTATATTTTTATAACAATGCCATATCAGTAGTGTACTCCTTCATGTAAGTGCCTCAAAGGTAGCCATTTTAATTTTGGTCATATATTTATTGAATTTTACCAAGTTCATGAAAACATCTCTGGCAGAAAGTTTTCTATCTTTTAATTTTATTGCATTTGTCTGTAGAGTTATTTTTGGTTTGTACTTTCTTTACCTTACTTTTTATCCATTTTTAGATAATTTTTATAATTCAGGAAATTTATTTATAATAGTTGACATTAAGATATTACTATGTGTTGTGTAATGCATGCAATTCAAAATAAAACTTCAGTTTTAATAATTGTGTTTCATTTTTTCAAGACCATCAAAAAGAGAGAAACAGAAATGAAATGACTTCAAGGAGTTGCCTAATTATTATTGATTCATTTACGGCATCATCTCGTGGAAACAAAATTTCTGCAGATGATCATGTGTTGTTATATTCTGTTTTTGAAAATGTATTTTTTTTCCCTAATAACACCAATGATTTTTTTAATCAGTAGAAGAATATCTATTGTAATTTCTAGTGTTGAACTGCTCCATTTTATAGTATTGTCACTATTGTCACATTTTTCAGTCAACGAATCTGAAAGTAAAGATTTAAAAGAAGATAAAACTTCTAAGGGACATGTACTTTGCACATGGAGTGAGGACAATCTCCCCTCAGTTGTAAAGGAATTTGTTATCTACTTTGCACATGGAGTGAGTACAATCTCCCCTCAGTTATAAAGGAATTTGTAATCTCCCAAACAAATTTTGAAAAAAGGGCTTTTAAAGTGGGTGAAGTTGTGTTTCAGAAATTTAGGGGAGTTGAGGAGACTGCAGCTTTTCCAGTTCCTCTGCCTCATTCTTTTGCCACTGCAAAACTCCACACTGAGCCTTGTACTTCAAATCTCAGGATATTCAAATCCCCTTTTGATCCTGTTCAATCATTAGCTGTGTCAGTATGAATGATAATGATTTCAACTGGAAATGTAACTTAATAATATGGCAAACAAAAATAAATGTCCCATGAGTTGGAATGTATCTAAAGTGGAGGGTAGATGTGCCTTCAAATAGCACAGAGACATACTAGTAAAGAACTTATTTACGTCTCTGAGTAGCACTATAAATCAACTGTTTCCCTTCAATACACTAGTAACACAACGACGAAAATATAACCAGAAGGCCATAAGTATTAACATTTTGTCAACTTTGTGTATGTTTTTTAGTTTCCCCATTCACACCAAACAGACCCTGTAAAACACAATATTTTGCGCGTTTACACCTTTCCGGAAGTTGCGTCGTTGTTGGTTCGACTATTAGGATTTGGTGATTTCGAAATAATTTTGGCAAACACAGGTTTGTATTAGTTAGTAACCTTGTAAGACTTTTGTTTATTTATTTTTATTGTAAAGAATGAAATGAAATTGTATAATCAAATCTAATAGTCTAATTATTTCGCCTTCCTATACTGTTGTCTGCTTCGGTTTGTTATATTAATCAGTGTTTGACAGGAATAAAGGCACTTATTTGATGTAAACATTTTGACCAGCGCCCATTTCTCATAATGCATAAATAGGCGAATAATGATTTTAAAAAATGGAATGGTTAGAATAATGTGTGAAATTCTATCCCCAATTTAAATAGTTATATTTCATCAAACAAATCACCTAAAAATATGAACTTGCACCGCGTAGAAAAAAAATGGGGGGGGGGGGGGTGTCTTTTATCTTTGTAATTCAGAGTGTTTTACCTTACTTTAAAATACGTAATATTATTCTTATTTACATAGTTGCCATGTACAGTACACCGATGAATAAATATATCTTACATTTGGTATGACTTTTAAAAATGAGTATTTGTGGTAACATAAGCAGGAAGGAACCCCCTACCTTATAATATTCTGCATCTGTAGTATGTAAATCCTGAGGAGCAAGTTCCTGTTGAATCAGATTACTGAATGGTTCATTTATTTCAGCACTAATACATTTGACATGATGCTTTAACTGTTAGTAAAAATTCTGTGGCATCTCAAAATTTATAGATGGAGAAACAGAATAGAAATTGTTGCAGTAGTTAATTTGTAAATTTTTATTCAAATAAAGAAAATATTTAAAATAATTCAAATAAAGAAATATCTGAGAGTTTCACAACATATATTAACTTGCAAATAATCAAATGCCATTTATTTTGCTTCGTATATGTAGAGAATGTTTCCCAAGTCACAAAAAGTAATTGTTGCAGTTTAATTTCAAACTGACAAGTTGCAAATAAAAGATGATGTAAATAATATTTGGTTCACTGTATTATGTGTTTCAGTCTGAACTAGCAGAGTAGTGAAAGAATTTTATTCTTGCAGGGTGAGCCATGGCTGAAAAAGGCTGTATAGCCGTATTAGTTGTGATCGGGGCTTTGGTAATTATGACAATAGCCCTGATAGCTACATCGCTAAAGAAGCTGGCCTCTGATGAAAGTAAGTCTTAGTACATTAATGGATTTTACGAGAAGCGCTGACTTTTACAGTTGACGAATTACTCTCACACTAGGACAGTGTATGGAAGCTCTTTTAAGATATAAATATTTTACCTCAACCTTTAATCATGTTAATTCAACGAAAACAACATGCTATTTTAAAGCACAGATAAGTTGTCCTTGAAGAAAACAGCAATCATCCTACCCTCAAATCCAGGCCTTGACATATAAGTGCCCCTAACGCCAGAACTATGACCACTAGAAAGGTTTTCTTATCCATTATCAATTCTGTACCTCCGTAGATGATACAGGTTTAAATGTCCAAGTAAACAGTCACTTCTCGTAAAAGTCCAATAGCAGGCCTTGAAAAGAGTTTCAGCATGCTAGCCTGAGTAAGAACGGTTCAAAGACTGGAAATAAGAAATAATTAAATATCACATTGTATACAGTAAAACACAGTTATAACGAACATGCTTATAATGAACTGATGCTTGTAACAGCAAAAAAAAAAAAAAAAAAAAAAACGTCGATCGTAATCTGTTAGAAAGCTTTCACACTCATTCACTAATCTCATTATTGTTTGGCTTTAATTTAATATAATGTGACATCAATCGTCTGTCGTTTGTTGTTTTCAAGTAAGCTATAACAAATTGCATTTATATAAACAAAGCATAATTTCCACGCATGTGGCATTATTGTGTTACCCGTTGTCCGTGTGTTTACAGGACGAACGGATTGTTAAGAAACAATAAAATATTTAACATGAAAGTATAATAAAATTAAATATCAGATTGTATGCAGTAAAACACAGTTATAAAACATTTTGCAGGACTAAAATATATGACATTCAGTAATTGGGAAGGCCAAAATGGTCAATCTCCATTTTTTGCCATTTCAGTTGAAGGGCCATTTTTAAAAATAACAAAGTGACAAACAAATAAGAAATATGAGTGAAAACACGTTTTTATTAACCAAATCTGACTTTTAACACATGCAATGCAGCGAATTTAAAGGAACTTGCTTAGAATATAACTAACCGGTATTTTGTGCTAAAATTACGACAGTTTTGGAAAGGGAACAGCCCTACAATACAAATGAATGAATTATTGTACCCCGTTTAACCTGGCTTTGAATTTGTTGTTTTATATTGAGCATTTAAAACGAAAGTAAAACAAAAAAGAAAGTCGTACTCAAAATATTTCCAAATAACATCGCTAAAAATTGAATGCGCACCTTGGCGCCATGAATGATTGATTTAATACGCCATTTTTCACTTCAATGCGACTATGGCGCGTGGCGCAAGCCCTTCCCAATCACTGGACATTAATGAATGTAACAAATTGCATTTATATGAATTTGCCCTGGTTGTTAAATAGTGAAATTATAAAATTACAGAAAGACCTAGGATCCTTTTGGCCTACAAATCCCTTGAGTTTTCTAAAAGAAGTTCACCTAAAAATCATTTATCCAGACCCATTGTACTGATATCACATCAGGGGACTAGGTTCAATAACTATCCTGTAAGATATACTGTTAATCTAATTTTAAATCAAGGGATGTTCTACATTATAAATCTTACAAATGCAGTTGTTTTGCTATGAGGCATCAGTATCTAATTTTGATACTTTATAATTTTACTTTTTCTTATATTGTTAAAAATTCTGGTGTCTGACAAATTAGATGAAGCTATAGACAGGAGTTGTATTATGGTATTCATATTTATCATTCATATCCACAAACTGACTTAAGTTAGAATACCCTGTAGAAGTTTCACTATTTTTACAAATGGCAAACTTATTTTGTTATACTGTATTTTAGTGCTTGAATAAGGACGGAGTTCAGATCAAACTGGACGTTACCTACCAGTACAAAGTACGCTCCGCAAATTTACGGACCGTCATTCTGAACTTCAGGAACTTCACAGGATACAAGACTGTCTTGACTTACGCTGGTTTGTATTAAATTATTGAGAAAAAAGAGAAGACATAGTGGAATTACTTCTGTTACAATGTTTAGGTTTTTACTGCATTTACACCTCCATTCAGCTTAATATACTTGCTCTTATACCTCTGTTTTTAGCTCACCTGAGCCAAAGGCTCAAGTGAGCTTTTCTGATCACATTTTGTCCGGCGTCCGTCTGTCTGTCTAGCTGTCTGTCTGTAAACTTTTCACATTTTTGACTTCTTCTCAAGAACTGCTTGGCCAATTTCAGCCAAACTTGCCACAAAGCATCCTTGGGTGAAGGGGATTCAAGTTTGTTCAAATGAAGGGCCATGCCCTAATTCAAGGGGAGATAATTGGGAATTATTGAAAATTTGGTGGTATCTTTTAAAAATCTTCTTCTCAAGAACCACTGTGCCAAGAAAAATGAAACTTATGTGGAAACATCCTAAGGTAGTGTAGATTCAAATTTGTACAAATCATGACCCCCAGGGGTAGGGCGGGGCCACAATGGCCGCCCAAAGTTTTACATTGAAATTTATAGGAAAATTCTTTAAAAATCTTCTTCTCAAGAATGACAAAGCCGTAATTGATCATATTCATATGGAAGCATCCTCAGGTAGTGTAGATTCAAGTTTGTTCAAATCATGACCCCCAGGGTAGGGCGGGGCCAAAATGGCCACCTAAAGTTTTACATTGAAATATATAGGAAAATTCTTTAAAAATCTTCTTCTCAAGAATAACAAAGCCATAATTGATCATATTTATATGGAAGCATCCTCAGGTAGTGTAGATTCAAGTTTGTTCAAATCATGACCCCCCAGGGGTAGGGCGGGGCCACAATGGCCACCCAAAGTTTTACATAGAAATATATAGGAAAATTCTTTAAAAATCTTCTTCTCAAGAATAACAAAGCCATAATTGATCATATTTTTTAGAAGGATGTATCTTCAGGTAGTGTAGATTCAAGTTTGTTCAAATCATTCTGGGGGTAGGGCGGGGCCACAATGGCCACCCAAAGTTTTACATAGAAATATATAGGAAAATTCTTTAAAAATCTTCTTCTCAAGAATAACAAAGCCATGATTGATCATATTCATATGGAAGCATCCTCAGGTAGTGTAGATTTAAGTTTGTTCAAATCATGACCCCCGGGGGTAGGGCGGGGCCACAAAGGCCAATCAAAGTTTTACATAGAAATATATAGGAAAATTCTTTAAAAATCATCTTATCAAGAATAGCAAATCCATGATTGGACATGGGACTACTTTTGGATATAAACTATTCAATAATAATCCAATTTCTGCTTTTTCCCAGCCACAGTGCTCAGGTGAGCGATGTGGCCCATGGGCCTCTTGTTACAATGATAGTTGCAACTGGAAAATCTTGCTTATGACTTATAGAAAAAGATAATATTTTTACAATTATATACAATGTTCCCACTTCACAGGTGAGGCAGCCCTTCATGAGTCCTGTAGCTACTTTAACACATCACAGTTCCAAAGTCAGAGAGCAGAGTTTCAGGAGTTTGTCCGAACCAAGATCATAGAGAGATATGATATCTTATATGCAGACATCACAGACTTACAGGTAAGTTATGAGGATGTTTGAATGTAAATCTCAAGATTAAATTTACATTTATGCATTAGAAATGAGTTGGTACAATTTATGCTGGTTTTCAATGATAATTTTGTTGTCTGTACTCTTTGACAAGGTGAGCAACATTGAGAGACTTTTGAGATATAGGACACTGATTGTGTAATATTTTGAGCCCTGATTCACTTTCTGACTTTGATACAATGACCCTTTATATGAAAATATTACCATTATACTGTATTGGCCCTGGATCAATTTTTTGTGCAGCAAAATATTGACCTTCTTTAATAATTTTATTTTTGGGTAGGTTGTGTTGTTAGGAATTGGGAGTGGGCTGGGTGGGGTCTGGAAATGATGAAAGTAGGGGTTTATGGGTAAAAATCATGACACCGGATCTTGTCAATAGTTATTTGACTGGGGGGTTATTTTCAGTCATATTGTACTCCTTAATTGTATAATTGACTTGACTAAACAACTCCTGCTATTATGATAATAATATTGTATGCAATAAAACCCCCAAAATTCATTTTAATATACTGACACGCAAAAGAAACGCAACCTCCAAATTTCGGTAGAATTTTTAATATTTCGTATAAATATATGGTTTAATGTTTACATCTTATAGAAGATACACATCTGCTCTACTAATTAGTGCATCAAGTTAGTCAGAGACCAGAGTAAAAAATGTCAAGGATGTAGAGGTGGAAACAATTGAACTTTTCCAGGTTTAATATCGAATATGCCCTCCATTAGCATTTGTTGAGATTCTGCGATGCATAGAGTTTGTTCACGGTTGATTTGTGTCATAGAATCACAGAAGTGCCTGACGCAAAGCGGGTAGGGTTTCTGGTGGATTTGGGCGCGTTTGAATGCGTCGATCCAACATGTCCCACACATGCTCAATAGGCGACAAATCAGGATTAAATTTACATTTTTGCATTAGAAAAAAGTGAACGTTGTGCTACATGACACCTTGCATTGTCTTGTTGGAAGATAAGGTTATTTCAATGACCACAGGTTGCAGAAATGTCAATGTACCGCTGAGCTGTCAAACTGCCTTCAATGAATATAAGCGGGTTTTGCGACCACAGCAGATCCCGCCCCACACCATAACGCTTCCACCACCGAACCTGTCACATTCCACCATGCAGTTGTTGGCATAACGTTCACCGCGTCGTCTAAAAAACACGCTGACGCCCATCTGAGCGGTAAAGCGTGAATTTTGACTCGTCAGTGAAGAGTACACGGCACCATCTTTGCATTGAAAACGCTGGACGGTGTCGATGCAACCTTTCTGACGTCACGCCGATGACGATTAAGAGGCATTCCCACTGCAACGCGACACCCTTTATATGAAAATAAGACCATTACACTGACTTCGTCCCAGGTGTCTCATTTTTTTTGTGCAGTTTTAAACCGGTTGCGCAAGTGCTGCAACTTTATAATTTCATTTTTCGAGGGCGATCAGCAGTTGTACCAGTTTGTTTAGGCGTTTGTACAGACGAGATATTGTGCTTTTGTGGACATTCAGTATTCTTGCAACATCTCTTTGGGTGTTTCCAGCCATCAGTAACTGTACTGCCCTATTACACGCATTGTTTGAGAGCCTAGGCATACTTACTGCAGTCCAAAAAACAAATTTTAATGTCGAACTATTCTTACCAGATACATGAAGAATAACAAAAATGTAGTTATTTGATCCGTGCACGTGGGGTATTTATCGATGCCTCGCTGACACGAAAACGTGTAGTGTCACCGAGTTTTATAACATTGCTTGAAAACAAATCCCTTGATTAAAAATTGCTGACAATAAATCATAAAAAGTAAAAAATAATCGTATTTAAATTCATTTGTAGTATATATCTGAATTGTAATGGAATGGTATTCAAAGCTTTCTGTTCAAAAAAGTAATAGAAAAGTTTAAGTAGTGTAATACTTTGATGCCAATTGCATGACATCTGGGGAGAATCAGTGATTTTAAATTTATATTTTTCCATCACAGGTAGCCCTTAATGAGAGGCCAAGGTTACTGACAGAGGCAGAAACGGAAAAACGTGAAGCGGAAACTCAGGCGGAAATCATCAAAGACAAGGCAGAATCAGACGCCAGAATTCTGAACAATAGGTATATTTATTTGGAGATTCATTAAAGTACATTATAGATTTGAAGTCATTTGCCACTTTTTTTCCAATTAAGGGAATGTTTGGTCAAAATTTTATTTTCTTTGCATAAAACCTCACCTCTAATATAAAGAGGAAAGCAGGATCTTATATCAGTTTGACTGGATAGTTGCAGAGAGTAAAAATCATTGCATAAAAAGTACTGTGCTAAGCTAATTTGGGCATAATTTATTATTAGAGCGAGAAAAAATATCCATTTAAGAGACATTTAACCTTTTAATAAATCTCAGAATGATGTTTGAGACTACTGGAAAGAGTTTATATCTGGTCTTGAAAGAAGAGTTATCTATCCTTTAACATTGTGCAGAGATAGTGTTTTCTAATGAGGTTTTGTTAGAAAAATGAAAATTCAGTTGATTGCATTTTGATAATACATGTATTATAATCAATATTATAAATTTTCACCATATCTGACTTTTTTCAGGGCCAAAACTGAAGCGGAGGCCATTTTGACTCAGTACCAGAAGGAGGCTGAGGCCTATAAGCAGATCATTGAGGCCTCTGGCCTCGGTTTCACAGTTGAGGGCTTCATCTCCTACCTCGGGGTCAGAGTCATTGCTGACGCCAAGAACCCGGTGTACATTGGACTTCAGAGTCCAGCCAAATCAGCTTATCCTTAATTACCTAATTAGGACCTTAGAGCCCAGCCAAGTCATCTTAGTATTAACCAGTAATTAGGTCATTCATACAAGAAATGCTCAATTTAATTTAAATTCTGATTTTTCAACTTGATGCAATGAGAGGTTAGTCTAAACCTTTTTTTCTAATATTAATATTTTTCCATTTTTATTAGCATTGGCGTACCTATTGCTATCTTTCTTAATTCCATATTTTCCTAAGGGTCTGAAGATACTTGTATACTTTAGAAGTACAGTATTAATATGATTCTTAATAATGTAAACCAACATTTATTTGTGTGCAAGAAATTTTCGCGAAGTTCGCGAGAGCCTCGTCATCGCGAATATTTCTCGCCGCGAACCGATTCTTAAAGTGTATGTGTCTATTAACAACAGATCCAGAAAGGCTTGTTCGCGAAAATTAATCATTGCAAACTAGTTTATCCCTGGTAAATAGCGAAATAAATTCATCGCGAGTGAAAGTTGGTTTACAGTAGTAAAATAAATATGCACTTGGTACAGCAACGAATTACTGAGGGTGATATTTTTGGCAGTATTTTGCCAGATGTTTCAAATTATTTTAAAACTTTGTAGTTCCCCGCCAAAGCTACATTTGTCAAACCAGTATGGTTGTTATTAAAAATTTAATTAAAAAAAAAATAAGGAGAAGAAAATGGATACAATTTTATTGATTTTAATATGACAAGAAATGTTTTAGTTGCCATTGATGGAGAAATACATATGTTAAGATTGTTTACGTTTGCTAGTCACATGAACAGTGTAAAGAGTAATTGAGGTAATGCTATTTTTACTAGAGGAGAATTGAAGGTTGGCTTCAATATTAAAAATATTTTTTTACCTCCTGGTGTGAACGGGTATTTCTTGTGTATATGAAACTATTTCTGTTGTGTTTGTTATGATGTGCTTTTAAGAAATTATTTTTGCTATGATGTATTTGATTCATATTTCTGAAGTATAATTGGAAAATTGTACTATTGATAGTAGCAAAGATTTGTCAAACAAAAGGTTTTGATTTTTGTGTGTGAAATCTCTTCCTTTTTTGATTTGATATTTTTTAAATTTTTTTTGTACATTTGATCTTGATATAAAAACATTAAAATAAAAGTGCAAAGTTTACACATCGATAAATTCTGAAAAAAAGAATGTTTATGTTGTACTTTTTTGCTTTATACATGTAAAAAATGAAATATATATACTTTTTAGCTCACCTGAGCCAAAGACTCGAATGAGCCATTTCTATCAATGTTTGTTTGTTGTCTGTCTTCCTTTCTATTCGTCTAATTGTCTTGTAACTATATAAGCATTTGCAACCTTGTTTTCCTAATCATAAGGTCAATTTCAACCAAATTTGTTATTCTTGTGTAAAACAGTTTCCAATTCCTTAAAATAAATGCTCTCACCTCTTCTCAGGAGGAATAATTAAAAAAAAAAAGTGAAAAAAAATTGAATTTAATCTTTTCAAGAACTAAAGAACCATTGGACCAGGAATGAAACATTTCAAAGGAAAGGAATGAGTGTACATTCTATTGCATAACAATTATTTCCACAGAGTTTGAACATGACAACAATAGGGGTTCAAGGGTTTTAAATTGTGGTACTAAATCTGAGAATATCTCACGAGTTTGTAAATGAGATGAGCATTGTGGGTCCCTTATCTCCTGAATGCTGCATTAAATACTCTGCTTGTTTTGTGCAATGAGGTACTAGCTGTTATAATCCAATTGTATCTTTATGTGACCTCTGACTTGTTTTGTAGCAAAGAACTTTGTGTATTGTATTGCCAATTTACTATTAATCCCTGTGCATTTTGACTCAACTTTTCAAACATGGCCTTGTATCAACTTACAAATTTTTACTTTTATAATGTTACATGTATATTGGACTTCTTTCCTTTATGTTATTTTTTGTACCATTATCTGTATATTGTTTAACTCCATTATAAATGTTATTTATTGTTGACTTGTTAACCATACTTGATATACTGTAAACTAATGTTCCTGTCTGATAATAAATGTCCCAGTCATTGTCACTATATCTTATTTCAAATTTTTTTTATTGGCATTAGTAGCAACCATTCAACCTTTTTTGTACATTCCTGAACATCTCCGTAATGGGCCATATTTTTAAATACATACACAGAAAATATTGACCTTTATTTACCAGACCAAGAAATTTTTCAAGGAAAAATTTTTTTCTGTGCTTCCAAAATTTATGTATTTGTTGAGTTCTTGCTGATTTAGCTCACTTGGGCCACAGGTCCTAAGGTGACAACCATGTGTTGGTGTAGCCAAAGTCTGATGGTCAGCATCAAATAGAACCTTGATGATTTGTTGGTATGGAGACTGAAGACCGACTGTTTGTTTCTTATGAAGCACACCATGCAAAAGTGGGGTGGTACTGCATAGTAAAAACTGATATGTAGCAAACTCACCATCAATGATGTCACAATGTGTTCTCCAGTTTTCAAGAATTGAGGGTTAGTCCTCACATACAATGGCTTTTGGTCATTGCTTGCACCATATTAGAGTTAAGTCTTCACATAATGCTTGACTGTCAAGGATTAGTCTTTGAATACAATTGACTGACTTTGACAATGCTTGCACCTGAGATATGTGTTTATCCTTGTACACCACTAGACTGCTATGGATTAGTCATCACTCTCTACAGAACTGATAATGGGATAGCTTTGCAGTTTGCACCCATCAGAGAATCTTGCTTACTATTTGACTGAACAGGGTTAATCTTGCACCAAAGATATAAAAGATGCACAATATTTGAGTGATTAGTCTGGCACACTGGCAGTCTGGCCACAAAATATACTAGTACTTAGGTCAGATGTTGCACTGTTTAAGTGATTAGGATTTCCCTTGCACTCACCAGAGATTGGGGTTAGTGTTGCACTCACTTAGAAAGTAGAGTTCATGAATTTAAAAAGAGGTGCTATCGTCATACGTAGTTACTTAAAATCATTGGACATTTGCGAGGCAGCAATTCTGGACTTTGGCACACTAGTACAGAACATATGGCATGAATCAACATCAGTGATTGAACCATCAGGGTACGTTTGGTTCTCAAGTCACCATTATTTGGCACAGACCATCAACCATAACCATTTGGCTTTTGAGTCGTATAAACTATATTATGGGAACAAAGTATGAAAAAGTAACAATAGTAAATACTTTGATTTTTTGATTTACTATAAAACTTTACTTTAGATCTTCTTTTTTAAAAGATTTAGTTTACATTCTGCGTTAATCTCTTCATAAAACAATCCCAGTTTATTACATCTTGCGTTTAATTTCTATTACATTTCGCGTTGTAACAATACACTATTGAGCCGTATGAGGTATCACGAAACTCTACCTCGGGGTCAAGATTTACATCCCATAGTACAAGTCCAGTTCCCTCGGCAGTGTTTCAATATTTCACATCAAGGAAAATAATTGATACCTTCAACCACAGGAAACCCCATATACGTATCTTTATAATAATTATTATCACTGTGGTAATTTTTGATCCCCAAGTCGATAACGTGCGGGGACGAACCAAAACACTGGAAATCGAATCCGAATTAGGTGTGGTAACACAGATTTTTAGTCGATCTTTAACCGTATTTCCAAGAGAAAAATGTAACATTATCTTAAGTAATATTAAAACACCTATGATGATGTGTAATATATCTACCAAACTCCATAGTTTTTACTTAACCATTAATTAATATAAATCTAATAAAGAGGACCAAAGTTAATCAGTATCTTGTTTTCCGTCAATGCCTGAGAGTCAAAACAAATTATAGACCTAATGGCTTCAGGCAATTCTGACCGATACAAATTGTACATAGGCTTTCCAATGTTTTTCGTTAATCTGATGGCCCTGTTTCTGCTGGTAAAGAGTACAAAACTGTCTTTCAAAATTAGAATTCTCTCCATAAATTTGTGTATAGCGGACACTTTGACATGCGTGTTTCTGAGTTTTCCGACTTATTCCTACAAATATGTTTTTGGAAGTGATCTGAAGAACTTTTTCGTGCTCCTTTCGTCCACGGCGGCCTTTTTGACCATCACTCTGTTTAATCTGGACCGTTTTCTTGCATTCAAAACAACGATCTTTTACCACAGGTATCTGTCCAAACAGAAAATAAAAGCATCATGCTTTGTCCCATGGATCGTGGCGGTTTTGCTTTCATATTCTCAATACTGCATTTTTGTTGGTGGAAATCAATGCTCACAGGAACCATCTACCGTAAAACGGAACACAATTATCATTGGCTATATACGGCTAGTGCTATTTTTGACAAACGTTGTGTTTTTCGGTGCAAGTCTGCATCATATCAAATTCAGACTTAGAACAATGGCCGACCACTATAAATGCATGAATCAAACCAAAACCTTCTTGAAGATATCAGCGATTACGGGTACGTTTCTGGTTCTGTTTACCCCAGGAATGGTATGGACACTTTTTAAACCATATATTACTGACCCCAAAGTAATCTTCCTTGTCGATATGGTGTCTGGGTTTTGTTTTTCTGCCTCGTTCATTATGGATCCAATCTGGTACGTTTTGCGTTTCCGAGATTGCCGATATCAACTTCAACTTCTACCTTATGTTTTCAACAAGAAGAAACGAGAGAAAATAATGAAACTGAGGAATGAACAATATGCTACATACCAAATCAGCAGTAGTTCAAGCTAAGAAATGTCCCCAGTAGTTCTAACTACTTACTTTCAAGAACTTTTAAATGTATTTGCATTTTTGAATATTGTTTGTTTGTTTAACGTTCTTTCGAAAATTTCTCTCTCATATTGAGAGGCCAATACATGTATTTGCCGATAGACCCTACACTCTTAAAACATGTAGAAATCAATTGGTAAGTTCAATTTTGCAACGTTTTCAATTTAAACATGCTATCAAATGCTTGTAAACGTTCATTGTAAATTTAGGCATTTTTTATTACGCATTTGAGATGTAGATATCAATTGGTGAGTTCAATTATGAAAGATTTTGATTTGAAAATACTAATATGCTTTAATGCTCGTAATCGTGAATCTAAAATTTAAGTTACATCTAAATAAGCTAGAAGCAAAGCTTTATGATAAACGGAATGACTTCAACTTTTCAATCATCAGCATCCCTTACTTATGTAGCAATATACCCTTATCACCGGCATATGGGGTTAATGTTCCTCATTTAATTCAAAACGCAAGAGCATGCCCTACGGATGAACAATTTCTAAAAAAAAAAAAAGCAAGCTACTGACATACAAGTTGATAAAACAAGGATATCAACAGTCTCGTTTGAAGTTTTATGGTGGATACAATGATCAACAAATTACAACCTATTATTAAGTCAAATGCTAACTGACATTTTCATACTAATTGTATTGCCATTATTCATTCACACCAAATTTTCGACGGATTTTTCCACGTGTGGATTTTTTCTGATCATAACAAGGAACACACTGTGTGTGTGTGTGTGACTGATCGATAGAGGATGGTCAGTCCATCATGGTACCTAATCTCACTTCTGATCTTTTTGGAGGTCCATGTTTGCTCTGCTTCAGATAACAAACAAAAGGTGAGCTATATTCATTGCTTGATGAGATTCAATTGTAAAAAATATGAACCATGTACTATAAGGGATTTACAAATTATTTTTATTATATACTAAAAGGCCAAAAAATGTTAAAATCTGAGGAAAAAAATATTAAATACTATTACTCCTGTCGCCCTTATATTCATAAATTAATTATTTTATAATTATATATAGATAAATTGAATAAAATATATAGTGCAAATACAAAGGAAATATGCAACTATAGAAAATGTATAAATTGTAAACTGAAATACTTGTTTCAAATATTGTGATTACCCTTACCTATTATTCTTAAAATGGTGTTCATGTAAGATGCATTGTGAATTGTATTTATCTACATTAAATATACCTGTGAGATTTACATTTCTTGTTTTAAAACGTAATTATTTGAACACGATTGTCACGTAAATTATCCAAATTATAGCTCAAATACAAGTTTTTAAAAACCTCCAGACAACTTTTAGAAAA